ACACCGCAAAAAAAAAAAAAAAAAAAAAAAGAATGTTCCAGAAAGGGAGAACAAGAAGTGCAAAGGCCCTGAGACTAGACTCATTTAGCACATGTCAGTCAGTGGGCTGGGATGGAAAATTTGAAAGAGCAATTCACAGAAAATGGAGATGGAAAGAAAGCAAGAGACCAGGCCCAGTGATGTCTCCTCCTAGGCCATGGCAAGGACTTGGGATTTGACACTGGAGAAATGGGAAGTCTGGGACTGACAAAGCTACACAGCTGGTAGATGTATTTTAGTGCCCTTTACCTTACAGCCCATGATTTTATTTTTTTTAAATGAAAGGTTTATTCAGGGAGATACACACTCCATAGACAAAATGTGGGCCATCTCAGAAGGTGAGAGGCCCCAAGGTGTGGGGGTGGTTACTTTTTATAGACTGGGTAATTTCATAGACTAATGAGTGGGAGGATTATTCCAACAATTTTGGGAAAGGGGCAGAGATTTCTAGGAACTGGGCCACAGCCCACTTATTGGCCTTTTATGGTCAGCCTCGGAACTGCCATGGCTCCTGTGGGTGTGTCATTTAGCTTGCTGATGTATTACAATGAGGGTATACTGAGGCTCAAGGTCTAGTGGAAATCAACTTGTCCACCATCGTGGACCTAGAGCCCATGGTTTTAAATGGCAAGTTTTATTTTCTACCACAGAACCACTCAGAGTGGGAGACACATGGGTTGGACTGATTGGGTTTTAGGTTTTCATATTTTAAATTATTTTTATTAAAAAACTGTCATTCATGGAACACAACGCAAATGTTACCAAAGGTCTTCCAGTGCAGAGTAAGACTCCTTCCCACCTCTGATCACATGATCCCAGCCACCCACCTCCCCACCCCTCCCACAAGTCTCTTCCATGGCCTTAAGGGAGTTGGGTTTTAAGACAACATTCATTCACCAGTATTTATTGAGAGTCTACTCTTTGCCGGGGCTGTGTTAGGTACTGGAGACCTAAGAGACTGAGATGGAATCTCTGACCTCTCAAAGCCTATCGTCTAAAATAGTGGTCCCCAACCTTTTTGGCACCAGGGACCAGTTTCATGGAAGACAATTTTTCCACAGATGGGGTGGGGGGTGGGGAATGGTTCAGAGCAATGGAGAGCAATGGGGAGTGGCAGACGAAACTTCGCTCCCTAGCCCGCCGCTCACCTCCTGCTGTGCGGCCTGGTTCCTGGACCACTACAGGTCCGAGGCCTGGGGGTTGGGGACCCCTGGTCTAAAAGACATGGGAAAGGTCTTAAGGTTTCATTCACAAATATAAGGCAAAGTCAGGCCTCAAAGTAAATAAGATTTTCGATTCCAAAATACTCACATTCTCTTTAATATATCTTAAGAGCTGTATAGGGCATCAAAGTCAACATTAACATGTTTGGGGCCATGCAAACATGCATTTCGAAGCAATTTTCTATTCTGAATATGAAAACTCCCTAAAATAACTTGGTGTTCTTCACTAGTCTAGCCCTGTTCAATCAAAAATATATATTTAATAAATAAAAAAGGAAATGTCCTAGATTATTTCAGGAAATCTACATAAGAGAAAAACGTATGAATAAGGCACAAGAATGTAATGTACAGCATGGTAACTACAGGTAATACTGTATTGCGTATTTGAAAGTAGCTAAGAGAGTGGATCTTGAACGTTGTCATCATGAGAAAAAAAATGTGTAACTATGTGTGGTGATGGATGTTAACTGGACTATTGTGGTGATCATTTTACAATATATACAAATATCAAATCATTATGTTGCACACCTGAAACTAATATAATGTTATATGTCAACTCTACCTCAATTAAAAAATAAGAATTAAAAACACCTAAATTCTGTTTCAGGTGTGCCTTTGAATTCTGTACCAAGGGAATGTATTACTTACTCAAAAAATACAACTAAAAAAAAATTAGGGTACAGATTGTTTAAATGTTCCCTTGAAAGTAGGTGGGGGGGAGGGACAGTCAGGGAGTTTGGGATTGACATATACACACTGCCATATTTAAAATGGATAACCAACAAGGACCTACTGTAGAGCACAGGGAACTCTGTTCAATATTCTGTAACAACCTAAATGGGAAAAGAATTTGATAAAGAATAGATACATATATACGTATACCTGAGTCACTTTGTTGTACACCTGAAACTAACACAAAATTGTTAATCAACTATACTCCAATATAAAATAAAAAGTTAAAAAAAAAAAAAGTAGGCAGAGGGGATGTAGGGCTCTGCCTCCACTATGAAGAAAGGCAGCCATAGTGTGGATAAAAGGACCCTGGAGTAGCGGGCAGTAGTCCCTGGATTTAATACCAGATCCCCCCTGACTAGTGTGGAACAACTAGCCAGTGATTTCTCCACCCAGCTTCAATTAAATGAACCAGCAAATGAGGATGAACACATTTCTACCATTAGACTGTGAGATGAAAGGAAGCCCTTGCCTTTCTTCTCTGATGAATTCCTACTCATCCCTGAAACATTAATTCAAACAGCATCTCCTCCATGAAGCCTTCCTATACTTTCCTGACCAGATGAAGTTATTGGCTCCATCCTCTGGGTTTCAAGTGAAAGGTCTCTAGCATTGCCCCTACTTCTTTCAGTTTCTCCCAGAGCTAGAAAGTTGTCTTTGAAGCTTCCAGGGGGCTACCCTTTCACAATTAGGAGTTCAATAAATACTTGCTTAATGAACGGTAAATGAATGATACATGTTTCCTTGTCTGCATTTGTATACGTAACGTGATTCTGCAAAGAATGTAAGACATGAAGTATCTTTCCATTAACAAATGGCCTTGGGATGTAAAATCATCAACAGTACAACTACTATCCTTTTTCTTTTTCTTTTTTTTTTTCTGTCAAAAATTTTCCATTCCATTGGGGTATCTTTTCTATAAGAAAATGTTTTTTTAACAAGTCGGCGGTGGGGCAGAGCTCCCTATACCTTACAAGCCTTATTTTCCTCTTCAGCTAGTACCTGGCCCTTTAAAATGCCTTAAAATGCTCAACAGATGTTTGCTAAAAGAATGAGTTATTGTTTTAAAGCTTTAAACGATCCAAGACAAACTCAAGCCTTCACGGGCTCTTTCCAAGACTGGATAGAAATATTTTCGTGGGATTCAGACGAGGAAAATAAGTAAACGTGGATAATAAAAGACACTCCTGTATAGTTACAGGAGGGTTAGTTTGGCTTTTATCAAAATTTTCCTTCATAAAAACGCCAAGAGAGCCGAGATCTGGGGTAATTTTCGGGGTTCCCTCCCTCCTTCCTCTCCGCTTCTCTGTGCTTTCTAAACTGCCCGTGGAGCACTGCCTTGCCACAGCGAGGTTTCCCTTCTGCGGCCCTGGGAGCCTAGTCCGGCAGGAACGCTGAGAAAGCTCCCGAGCAGCCTTGATCCGGGCGCCGGTACCTTTCAGCCAGCGGAAAAGAAGCAACTGAGTCCCGGCCTACCAGCTCGGCCACGCGGCGACATACGCCAACCCGGACGGTAGGTACACTGGGACCTGACGACACTGGAACCCAGCGCCCCGGGCGTGGGCGCAGCGGAGCATAATAGCTGACGTACCGCCTCGCCGCGAGGCCCGGCTGAGAGGCGGAAGATGAGGGTGCTGACGCAGCTGGGGGAACTTTGGCTCCATGGCACCTTCCTGTCCGCGACTCCGCCCCCGCCAGAGGGGCTAGGTTCCGGAATTCAAGATGGAGTCGCTGAGTCGAGCTGGGCAAGAGATGAGCCTAGCGGCCTTGAAGCAACACGACCCCTACATCACCAGCATCGCAGACCTCACGGGCCAGGTTGCACTGTACACCTTCTGCCCCAAGGCCAACCAGTGGGTGAGTGCAGCCAGGCCGTTGAAGTCGCCCGCCCGGCCGCCGCCTCTTAAAGGGACCGCGGGGACCGTTCTGGGTGGGGGCCGATGAGGGAGGCCAGGGCGGCAGGGGCGAGGCCAGGGACTGGAGAAGAGTCCGGCTGGCCCCTGAGGGGTGTCGGCGGAGCCGCAGATTGGGCGAGAGAAGTAGGTCCAAACATCCGGGGGAAAAGCTGATAGAGGGGAGGGTTGGAAGAGGATCAGTCCCATGGGGTCCGGTTCGAGGATGTGGGCGACTTGCCTTTTTTGCAGGTGTGTTAGAGGATATGAGACCGGTGGAGTTATAAAGATGCCTGAAAGATTGTGTTTGAAGCTTTGAGCGTTATTAGATAAAGTATATATACATAATCTATAAAATAAACACTCCTTCTCTCCCCCCAATAGACATAAATAAGGGCTCCCTTCTCAGAGGTCATTTGGATTTATAGCTTGAAATCCAGTTAGTTTCAATTATTGGAAGAGAGGGGTTGGGGATAAGTCCTGCATTTATCGAACTACACTGTATTTCCAGAGTTTGGAAAAGATTTCAAGGCGCTTAGGAAAATGACTTCCATGTTAATTGGATTACCTTGAAACCTTTGGAAAAGAGACCCTGTGTCTGTTCAGCAATGCTGCTGGTGATGTCACCTCTGAATGCACCCATCAGACTAAGTACTTTTTGTCTTTTTTGCACGGGAGAGGATCCGAAAAGTTGCATTCAGTTTGTTCACTGACTTGTTAGCCCGTTTGAAGCTTCGTCCGTTGTTTAAATAACATAATTAGGGAATTTCCTGGCGGTCCAGTGGTTAGGACTCCGCACTTCCGCTTCAGGGTGCCCGGGTTCGATCCCTTGTCGGGGAACTAAGATCCCACAAGCCGTGCAAGTGGCCAAACAAATAAAGGTAACAAAATTTCCCATTAAAAAAAAATTGAACCTTCTTGATTAACTCATTCAGCTATATAGGCTTTACTTAGGAAATAATCCGTAAATATTTGTTGGATCGAATTAATGATTGACGTTAACATTTCAGTAAGAATTGAAATCTTTATACTAACAAAACTGAAAGATTATTATCGTAGTATGTCCTTTACAACATAGTGCAGATACATAGGTTATAGTTAATTAGTAATTTTGTGAAAAATCATTTGGCATTTATAAACAGTTAATTCAGATAAAGAGAGTTTTCAAAGTCATCTTGCTTTACTTTATCCTCTTTCCTTCACCTCCTGTAAGAGAAGGAGGTATGGGAAGCTAAAGAGAACAAAATTATAGATTTTTTTTTTAAGTGTGGCTGTTTTAGACATTGCTTTAGTTTGAATCGTTCTTAATCATTTTTCTTGCTCTACGTATGAATTTTTGTAATATGGGTTGCAGACAAATGGTGAAGATTTGGGACATGGACTTATTATTTGGGGCATGGACTTAGGCTTTTATCTCTAGTTTGTCACAGACTTCCAATATTTTGGAATTTTAATTGTGTTGTTCACCTTTAAATATGAAATACAAGCTATAATAACCTGAACTGAAAAATAAGCTGCCATTATTCATTTGGGTCATGGCACATGGAGTATAACCAAAGTCTCTTCTCTCATTGTTATTTTACAGTGAGTTGTAACTTTACACAGCGGTTTATTTGGGCAAGTTTTCTTTCATTGTGAAACCGTTGATTACCAATTTCTTGCACTAATAAAGTTTGAAAGGCAAGAAAAAGCCTCTGAATTTTTAGTAAGGAAAAGTTTCATTATGATGTTTAAGCTAAGGCAGTACTCCTGGAAGAAATCAAGATGGTAAATATTTTTTTAAATTATTTTTTCATCCCAGCAAATTCAGTTTTATATGGCTGACATTTAAGTTTGCTAAGTTTGTTGATTACCTTAAACCATTTAGGTCCTATTTGGGCTGTGAACTGTAGACTAATGTGTTTCTTTTGCTTTTTTAAAAACATTGTTATTGTGTGGTTTTGTTTGTTTGTTTGTTTTTGCGGTATGCAGGCCTCTCACTGTTGTGGCCTCTCCCGTTGCGGAGCACAAGCTCCGGACGCGCAGGCTCAGCGGCCATGGCTCATGGGCCCAGCCGCTCCATGGCATGTGGGATCTTCCCGGATCGGGGCACGAACCGGTGTCCCCTGCATCGACAGGCGGACTCTCAACCACTGCGCCACCAGGGAAGCCCCTGTAACTGTGTTTAAAACCTAAATACGCTCTTGTCACAGCAAATGAAGGATGATGAGTTGTACTTTGTTAATCAAAACATTTACTTTAAGCTAAAAAACAGTTTTTAATTATTTGTAAGACCTATAAGAATTACACTAAGACAGAGTATAGTTTCAATATTCATGATTCTTCAACACAGTTTTAAAAATAACAAACTAATTGTGTTTGACAGTAACTCTTAACTAAATTTGCTACAAAATTTGCTACTCATAAAAATATACCAAAATCCCCCAATGATGAAACAAAGTGCCCTATAAGAAAATGTTTTTTTTTCCCCCTAGTAACTTTGATAAACTTTAAAGGTGAAGAAATTGCTTTATACAGGACCTTGGCTTTAAAATTAAGAAATTTGGCTAAAACATTTTAGTTTTAAAAATTGAAAGCTAATTCTAGAATTTTTCTCCTTTAAATTTTAAAAAAGGAAAGGGAAATTGCTGCAGATACAGGCGTGTTGGTAGATAGAACATTGCATATCAGTTAATACACATCAATAGAATAGAAAGGATACAAAAGAAACCGGTAATAGTAGTCTGTGGAGAAGACCTACTTGACCTGTTCAAAGTGATTAATTTTAAAATAAATAAGTTGATCTTAAACATGAAGTATTTCTTCTCCATTGGGACTACTTGGGGTTAGATTATGGGAAAAAAACTAATTGTCTCATTGTCTGTTATAGGAGAAGACTGATATAGAAGGGACCTTATTTGTATATCGAAGGTAAGCTTTTTTAAAAAAATTTTTTTTAATTTTTTTTTTTTAATTTGATGGTGAATGGTGTCATATGGAGTGATTCAACCCTATCGTATATTTGTCTTTGGGACCTTCCTGCTTGACCCTTCAAGTATTCATCCATCCCTCGCTGTGAGATCCTTACCAAGTAATGTCCTTTCTTTGACACTTCCTGTGATTCAGAATCAAACAGAACTAGAATTTATTTAGGAACCTAGCAAAATGGAAAACGTTTTCTAGTAAAGAATGAGTCTAAAGCAGTTGCCTTTCTCCCTCCCCCCATATTAAGAAAAATAGAATACATTGAGAAAAATAGTTGAGAAAAAGAGAATAGATGGACTAGCTGTTGTGTGATTACTAAACAAAAAGTTATCTTCTAAGACTCTGGTTCTGTCCCCTTTCCATCTACCCCCAAAAGCTTTGGATTTTGTCAGTGTCTGTAGTAATATGTATTTTTAGTTTGAGAGTCCTTTAGAAAGCCTAGATTATTCATAATTGCACATTTTTTATTTTTAACTTTTCTGAGAATTATCGTCTTAAAACATGATTTTTAAAAAAATGATTGGTTTGTAAATGCAGCTTGTGTTTTGTTCGGCAACTTTCTTGGCCTAAAGGCAGCTGACAGGGTATGTTAGTCATTGGAGTTCCTTGTTTTCCTGGATCCCTCTTAGGTCTTGCTCTGACTGAGGTAGGTTCCTTCCTTTGGTTTCTAAAGCTTAGGGAACTCAGCAGGAGTTATTACTGATACCTGGTTCTTTTCCTGTGTGTGTGTATTGTGAGTTATCTTTTATGGATTGCCTTTCTCCATTTCTCCACTGATGGTTATTAACAAGAATTTGTCAAATATTCTTCTAAATTTTGCTGTACAACTTTGAGATCTTGTCTAAAAATACTGATCTTTTTCTTCCTTTAAATGTATATGCTTTGATGTTACTTTTTATTTTTTTTATTTTTTTTTTTTACTTTTTTTTTTGACATTTTGTTTGCTGTTATTCATCTTTCTCCTTTAAAAAAAAAAAAACACTTTACCCTTCACCTACATTATTTGTCTTCATTACCAATATAAATGTCTAGAAGCTCTTCAACTGTTGTTAGAATGTTGGTACTTGGAAAGTGCTTTGCTGGCCTTATTGTTACAGTAGAGTACAGATCCACCGGTTATAGAAGATGAAATTTAGTTTAGTGAGCGACTTGATTTAATGAAATTTATGGAGGCTTACACAGTATTGATTGTAATAAAAGGAGACCAGAGAAACTCTATTTGGGAAATGTGAGAACATTTTATATACTTTGGATAAATATATACCAGGATGTCAGAATGTCGATTTGGAGAGACCTTAGTATAAAAGAAGCCTGGATTTGGAATCAGAAAACCTAAAGGATTCGGTGAAACAAGTGTATACAGAGAAACAAGTGAGAAACCGTAAAGTGTTGTATACAAGTGAGAAATATCTAAAGGATCATATGCTGAATCATCCTGATATGAGAACCAAGGGTGTTTCTTATTGTAGGATTGGAAGCATTTTCTTTGTAACTCAGGTTTTTCCATAGTTCTCACATTTGATGTAAGAAAAATCATTGTAATGGTGGGCAATAATTATAACCAATCCTGCAACATATTTAAAATAAATTATATTTTTATTGAGCATATGTTTATTAAACATATACTATATGTCTGTCTTGGGACATATCTAAAAAAATGACAACCCTATTTTCATGGAACTTACAGTTTAGTGGAGAAGGACAATAAATACAAAAAATAATAAGTGGTATGGAAAAAGAGAGAGGAGGATTAGAGGTATTGAGTTTGGGAGCATTAAAAAGGGTAGTTCTCTAGTGGCCTCAGTGAGAACAGGACAGTTTACCAAAGGCTTGCGGAAAATGGGTAACTCTAGATTCTAGGCCAGTGGCCCAGGCAGAGGTCTTTAGGTGGAAACATACCTGTAGGAAGAATGGCAAGGAGCCCAGTGTGGCTGGAGCAGGAGGAACAGGGAAGAGGCATAGGAGATGAAGTCAAGGGGGCGCACATCACCTGAGGCCTTGGTGGCCTTAGATAGGACCTTGGTCTTTACTCTGATGGACCGAGAAAGCTTCTGAGAGGAGGAGGGGTATGATCTGACTTAGATTTTTTTGTTTACAATTTTAAGTGCCAATAATATTATATAATGCAATATTGTATTCATTCTTTAAAATGGAAATAAAGAGGTAGATAACATTTCTGCAAATGAACAATAGCAGATTTTTTTTCTTCTATTAAATCTAAGGTCAGCTTCACCTTACCATGGTTTTACCATTGTGAATCGACTGAATATGCACAATCTAGTTGAACCAGTGAATAAAGACTTGGAATTTCAGCTCCATGAACCATTTCTACTATATAGAAATGCAAGCTGTGAGTATCTATCTGTTAATTACAGTGCATATGTTTGCAGTTAAAATTGAGTGACTTCAGTTTCTGTCAGCACATTATTCTTGGAAATTAAAGGTACAATAAAAAATATGGTCTATACTCTTGTGGTTATAAATGAGTCTCTTAGTAAGATCAGAGCTTTTAAATTGGGCTTCTAAAATTGAAACACTCTTTTGTATACAGTAACTTATTACATTATTTTAGTTAACTATACTATTCCATATAATAGCATTACATTATATTCCTATTGTTTGTTCTCTGAACATAAGTTTCACCCTTTGTTTTTGTTGTAACATGTATTATTGGCTGCCCATGCCCCTGAGCAACAGAACTTAGTTTGAGAGACACAGGACAGATACTGATATTTCTGCCCACAAAGAAAGTACATCTTTGCCCTGATTGTGGTATTTTTCGATCTGTTTATTTAGTTGAGTATCTGTTGGGTAAAAGTGCAGGGCCAAGAGCTATTGTACTTTAATGTTAATAATATAATAACCTATGGGGTAGGCCGGCAGTTAAGTCAGCTGAGACCCTGAGGTGAGTGGCGGCTATTCAGTTGAAGAGTGAGGATTGTAACCCTTTTTTCTGCTTCCTAGTCCAGGGTCCTTTCAGGCATTTTATAGACTCTAAAAATGGTTGGGTGTGGTCAGCAAAGCTAGAGTGGCCCTTTCAAGAAGGAAAGCACTAAAAAGTATACCTGGTTCCTGTACTTCAGCATGGGTATTGAAAGTATGAGTGTTTGAGGAAAGAAGACGGGCGATTTGTTTGGCATTGATGGTAGGGATATCAAAACTGGTTTTGGTGGTAAGGTGATTGTGCTGTAACCATCATCTAAGGAGGTTGCTGGAGATAACTTTGCTCCTTAAGTAAAAGTTTGAATTTCACTTGACTGGGAGGTAACTGGTATGGGGGGAATGTCTTCAGTATAAAATGTAAAAAACTACTAGAAATTATGCATCTTTTCATTCCCTGAATGAGAAATGACAAGGTCTGTGTTGAAGCTAGAAACCCCAAATTCTTCTCTGTAGCTCACTTTTAAGTGAAATAAAATCTGTCTCTTGACTTTTCAGTAAACTGTTTGTCCAGATAATTACCTCTCTTAGATGGTTTGAATGGATTTATTTAAACTAATGTTACAGTAGAATTACTTCAAATAGCTGTTTTCTTTACGCTGACCATTCTGTTAAAGGGGAAATTCTGCAAAGTAACACAGATCCAATTTTTTTTTAAGGAAAATTGGTTTAATTCTGCTTTTTATTACCTGAAAGTTTAATCTAGCTATTGCCTCTAAGAGAAGTTTGATTAGTAAAGTAGTCAGTAGGGGAAATTATCAGAGGCCCATGGACTTGATTACCATTTAGCATAAGCCTGAAGTGAATCTCATTATATTTCTTTAACAAGTAAAGTTTCCTGTGAAGTTGAAAGTGCAAGATAACACAAATATAAGTGAACCATGATTAACCAAAATTTTTTAAATTAATTTTTATTGGAGTATAGTTGATTTACAATGTTGTGTTGATAAAACAAAATTTAATCGGAGCCTAAAATATCTGGAAATATTTCTATAGTCCATGTGTGGAAGAAATGAAAGCAAATTGTAAAAAAACAGGTTAATGTTAGGTTTTATTTTGTGAAAATCTAGTAAATTTCTCATGTGTTACTTGGGATCAATACTATAACTTTAACCGCACTATAGTGTCATAGATTGATTTGCTGTAATGATAAGACCTTAAATTGTCAGGAGTGTTTTTTATATTAATTAGAATATTCTTGAGGGAAAAAGTGTACTACTGCTTTTTATTTTAGAAAGATTTTCAACAAGAGGTTGAAACAAAGGTTTCCTTAGTTAAACAGAAGACTCACTTAACCAGGTCATTCCCTTCCTCGGTTAATTGAGGCACTGAATCATCTCAAGGGCCTTACAGTTTCTGATATTGCTAATTAGAAATTCAAGAGCACATCAGTTTGCTTTCAGACCAGAGAAAAGCCTGAAAAGGTCAAGCACAATACTGTGGATATATTAGAAACAGTCCAGAGGAGGAGCTTGGGGAAAGTATTTAAAGGAATAGCTGTATCGGGGAGAAGTGACAGAGGCAGCATAAAGTGATTCTGGGAGTGTTCAGGCCTCTCTTGAGTATATGTTTTGTCTACCTAGTCTTAAAAGTAAAAAGTAGTCTTGTCAGGTCAGCAGGCTATTGAGTTGTTTAGGGATTGTTCTTTAAATAAAAAGTTAATTAGTGTCTGATTGTGTATACAGGTAATTGTACATGATTCTGTAGCTGCTCTTCTGTTGTTTTCTTTTGGAAAATACCACCAAGACACCTGACCCATTTTACTCAAGTTACACCCTCAGATCTAGTTCCACTTAAATCAGTTTTCAGAGTTGAGAGAATATCGAGCTATAACTTTTTCCAGTTCTAAATTGTTTGTTTTGCTTTATATTCTTTTTTTGAGTGGTTTTTCTTGTTGGTTTGTCTTGGCCATTCTTTGTGGCTTGTGGGATCTTAGTTCCCCGACCAGGGATTGAATCCCGGCCCACAGCAGTGAAAGCGTGGAGTCCTAACCACTGGACCACCAGGGAATTCCCTAGGTTTTCTTTATACACTCCCCACACACCCTAGCCCCACCACCCCAAGAGAAAGGTAAAATCTTACAGAGGAAATGCTTATGCCTTCCAGAAGCTTAGCTTTGGTGATTCTCTTGAACCTTTTGGAAGCAGTATATTTTTGTATACTGTGCAAGGACTTTGGGCAGCCACAAGACCCCAATGAGGGTTGTGGAGACTGCAGATTCTGTAGTTATTAAGCAAAAATGATGTTCCCAGCACCTTATTTCTGATTCCCAACTTACAGATGAGGAAACAAGAGTCCCAGAGAAGTTAAGAAATTTGCATAAGAGTCACAAAGGTTATAAGTGACAGGCAGAAGTCAAATCTAGGTCTGTTGAGCTTCAAAACCAATGTTCTTTCTACTCTGCTACAACAATAACATTACTTCATCAATTCACATTCTAGAGCAGTGCTATCCAACAGAACTCTGTGATGATGGAAAGATTCTATATGGGTACTGTCTCGTATAGCAATTGCCAGCCAGCCACATGTGACTGTTGAGCACTTGAAGTGTGGCTGGTGTGACCAAGAAAAAAATTATTTTTAAGTTTATTTAATTTAATCAGTCTGCATTTGAATAGCCATACGAGACCAGTGGCTACCATATTGGACAACAGAGGTCTAAAGCATGGATCCATGCAGAAACACACCCTTTTGTTATGCCATACCTGAACTGAACAAGCACTTGGGAAGCTTTAGATTAGATTTTTATGCCTCTCATTTAGTAATTCCTTTTTAAAATTTACAAATGATTTCTAGATACAAAGGCTGCAGAAGATATCCCTGAGGGTGGCTTTGCCATGGTAACACTCTTCTGCGTGGAATTTAGTTTGCAGACAAGAATTCTATTCTAGGCTTTGCCATTTTACCAACTGTAACCTTGGATAAATCACTTAAACCACTGATCTGACCTGCTTATCTTAAGAGAGCACCATATATGTAAAGGTTTTTTGTCAGGCACTTACAAATATAAAATATTATAGACTTTGTCTCCATCTTGGACTTAAGCCAAATGATCTTCTTAGTGAAAGAATCATAAAGACTTTAATATTATACAGGCTCTCTTATAACCTAGGCCCATAGTGTGCTTCTTTCCATCCCTTCTGATTAGCACCATGACAAGCTGGGAACTCTGTTTACCTTTACAAATATTACATTCAAATGTTGTAAGGGCAATTACTAGACAGCCTGAGGTATGATAAGTTGAATATATATAAATATATGTTAAAGATGAGAAATCTTGGAGGCTACAAATTTTTTAAAACTCTGATCAGTGGGTCATGGTGTGCTGGAACACACAGCCCCCTCCTGGCTAAAATTTTGTAGGATAATGTAATGCTGTTTTAATCTGTGGACACATCTCCCTTAAAAACATTTATGATAGTTTTCATTTTATCTGTGATTAGTTGAAAAATCATAATTCTTTTGCTGTGTAGACATATGCATTACTACCAATCTGCTGATCTTCTGTTTTCATTTGTGAACAGAATCCATTTTGCTAACTGGATTATAAAACCATTCTTGCGAACTCTGAATTTCGAGGAGTTATGGCATAGGCACATCAAAGAAAAACTCCTGTCCAGCAATATGATGTCAGAAAATCTTCCTCCTATAAACACTTAGAAATGCTATATAAAATATTAAATGCATAGTATAGCCTGAAAGGGAATGGGGGCATTTTAATGGGTCAGCATCAAAGTGAAAACTGAAAGCCAAAGTGGGAAGCTTGTGTGCTGACACCAGCTGCCAGATGGTTAAAGGGTTCTTGGGGATAGGGAACGTTCCTTAACATAAGGACCCCATTATAATTACATGGGGTCAGGAGACAAGACCTTGACCCCTCACGAGGTGGCTCATTGGAGCTGAGACGTACATACCAACGTTCACCCAGGTGCCCTAATGAGTTATATATTAATAAATTAGAAGGATATCAGAGATATCCCCACGAACCTAGGGAGATGACAGGCAAGCTAATCTACCTCAGCCTAGGCTACGAGTTAGAGGGAAAATGTCTCCCCTGAAAATTGTAACCATGAGCTCTCTCATGCAGATTTGAGATTCAAGTTATATCATTCATTTGGTATAATTTCTTACCCAGGCCAAAAAATTAACATAAAATTGATCATCAACTGTTGAGTACTCTAGAACATCTGGCAAAAGCAAATACAAAACTTTTCTGGAGAGAAATATTCTTAATCCAGATTGCCCAGGCATCTTATTGACAAGCCTCGTGGTCCAAAATTACTATATGTACAAAGAAATAATTCAGTCAGTAAAAGTTACGATAAAACAAATAGCCAACCCTTCGCAGAAACTTTGGGTAATGAAATGATCAGATAGAGACTTTAATGGATATGAATATCCGATGTAGATT